AAAAAAAAAAAAAAAAAAAAAAAGAAAACAGACGCAGGCCTCAAGACCTTGTGGGGAGTGCTGTATCACAGGATAAAATGCTGCCACAGTGATGCCTGAATTTTCCAGATCATAAGAACCACCTAGGACACTCTAGACCTAATAAACCGGAATATCTAGGGAGGGACCCAGGAATCTAGGCTTTTAACAAGCACCCTTTTAAGTCATCATGCACTTTCTGTAAAGGGTCCTTTGGGGTTTGCTGGCCATTGCATTTCTGTCATGGCCACTTGGCTCTGCAGCTGCAACACAGAAGCAGCTGTAGACATAGGTATAAAGGAGTGAATGTGGCTCACTCACAAAAATAGGCACCAGGCCCAGGCGCAGTGGCTCGCGCCGTCATCCCAGCACTGTAGGAGGCTGAGGAGGGAGAATCACTGGAGCTCAGGAGTTGAGACCCCGACTCATGAAAAAAATGGAAAAACCCAGCCGGGCGCCATGGCAAGTGCCTATAACCCCAGCAGCTTCAGGAGACTGAGGCAGCAGGATGCCCATAAGCCAGAGTCTCAGGTTGCAGTGACCTACTAAGATACTGTACTCTGCTCAGAGGCACAGGGTAGGACTCTGTCTCAACAAAAAAAATAGGCACCAAGTCGGATTTGTCAACCCCTGCCGTGAGATTATCACGATCAGCCAAGGGTGGGTATGTTTGTGGTATAAATACTCAAGTCACTCAATTACATCAGGTTATATTTCCTAAGTGCTTTATAGACATTAATTTATTGAATCACTAGGACATCCCCGTTTGGGAATCAGGCATAGGCACTCATAAAGAGGGGGGTGATACCAGGCTTTGATTCAAACTGGGCAGTTGTAGAGTGTTATTGTAGCACCTACAGTATGCTACCTTTGGGGACAGTGTCCCAGAGGTTTATTAAGAGGTGTTAAAACCTACAGTGTGCTATAGGCTTTGGCACTGATGGCAAGATTGTATGAGGAGGTAGAGGGCAAGGCCATTCTGGGCAGAGATGGAAAGAACAGGTTACCCTCGGTTTCAAGAAAGGACATGGAGGCTGGGTGCAGTGGCTCATGCCTGTAACCCCAGCACTCTGGGAGGCTGAAATGGGTGAATTGCTTGAGTTCATGAGTTTGACACCAGCCTGAGCAAGGGCAAAACCCCGTCTCTAAAAATTAGCTGGGTATTATGGCAGGCACCTGTTAGTCCCAGCTACTTGGGAGGCTGAGGCAAGAGGATCACTTAAGCCCAAGAGTTTGAGGTTGCTGTGAGCTATGGTGTCTTTGCACTCGCCTTCAGTAGAAGGCGACAAAGTGAAACTCTATCTTGAAAAAAAGAAAGAAAGGCCATGGAATAGATAGTGGGTGACAAGGAGTGTGGCGTGCTAAAGGGAGACAGCCAGCAGGAAAGGAAAGAGGATGCTGAGGAGCCTTGACCAGGAGGCTTGGTCCTCACCCACTCAGCAGTGGCAAAGTTGGGGACAGACAAGTGAAGTGAGCAAGCTGACTTCACTGTGGAGTTCACCCCCTGCACACACACCTTCTCTAACATACAAAGCCCACACACTTCTTTCAGGCAGGAAGGAGCCAAAGTTTGTCTGATGTCTCCTGAGCAGCTGCGGAACAAATTTCCCTGGATAAACACAGAGGGAGTGGCTTTGGCATCTTACGGTGAGGCTTGCTTGCAGAGGGGACAGCTTTTTTCCCTAAAGATGGAGAATGAGGGCTGCCTCAGGTTAGAAGCCAGGCGGAGGGAGAAAGGCCTCCCTGCACAGCAGGCCCTACCCCAGAACTAGTTGGTTCTGTCCTTCAGTAGGATTTGGCTGAGATGACCTTCTCTTGACTTACAAGCCCTAGAAAGGAGTTGGGAGGGTGCAGAAAATACAATAGGAGAGTAGGGGTCCTAGTCCCTCTTCATGAATTCTCATTTTCTCATCACAGGAATGGAGAATGAAGGTTGGTTTGACCCGTGGTGTCTGCTTCAGGGGCTGAGGCGAAAAGTCCAGTCCATGGGAGTATTTTTCTGCCAGGGAGAAGTGACACGTAAGTCTGAGGTCCTGTGCCCACTGCTTTTCCTTTAGCAACCAGAGCCTAGGCCTAGAGAACAGGGGCGTCTTCTCACTCACGAGCTAGGTGAGGGCTGGTGGGGAGGGGACCTCTTGTGGAGGCCTCCACATCCTATCTCCTGCTCCTCACTGGCTACTTTGTGCCTGTGGCCTGCCTGACAGTTCCTCTTGCATCCTGGTTGCCTGATCTCTGGTTTCTTTGGGGCCTATAAGAAAGTTCCCTTTCTTACAGCTCACTTTCCTTATGAAACCAATGGAATCCCTATTCCTTTCCCCTGTAAGGCCTCTGAAGCTTATTTTTTAATTTCTTCCCTGCAGGTTTCATCTCTTCATCTAGCTCCATGAAGAACACAAGTGGGGAGGAGGTGAACTTGAAAAGGATTTATGAAGTCCATGTAAGTTCCTAGTGCAGAGAAGTCCCTCAGCAGAGTAGAGGGGCAGGAAGGGCAATGAATCTCCTGTCAGTCTTCTGCCCACTCCCAGGGTGGGTGAACTAAGACTCAGGAAGAAGTGTGCCCCTCAGGTGCTCAAGTGTAGCCCAGACCCTCACTCCCTCAATCTCTGGTGCCCGCAGGTGAAGATGGACCACAGCCTGGAGTACCAGCCTGTGGAGTGCGCCCTGGTGATCAATGCAGCAGGAGCCTGGTCTGGGCAAATAGCAGAGCTGGCTGGGATTGGGAAGGGGCCGCTTGGTACCCTTCAGGGCACCAAGCTACCTGTGGAGCCCAGGAAAAGGTAACTTCTTTCAGGGCAGCTAAGGCTGGTGGGAGGAGGAGGGAAGAAATGATAACAAGATTAATCGCATGTGTGCATGGATGAGGGGAGGGGATTCGTGGCTGAGCTGTTGTTGCACTTTCCTCACCCCCCTGGTTATGACAGGTATGTGTATTTATGGCACTGCCCCCAGGGACCAGGCCTGGAGGCTCCGCTGGTTTCAGACAGCAGTGGAGCCTACTTCCGCCGGGAAGGATTAGGCAACAACTACATAGGTGGCCGTAGCCCCACTGAGGTAAGTTGAGTGGGGTCGAACATGCTGAAGAGAGACAGAGGCCATTTACCATCAAAGAATCAGGCTTTTTTGGAGGGTTGCATGCTATGTTAGTGATATTGCAGCCCCCTTCAGGTTTGAATTGGGGCCATTTCTCCCCATTCCCTGCCTACCAAGGGGATTGACTAAAGAGGTCAGTGAGGTCTAGGTCTGCCCTGTGTCCCAGGCAATGTAAGCCTGTTCTGCTTCTCACCCCAGGAGGAGGAGCCAGATCCAAAGAACCTGGAAGTGGACCATGGTTTCTTCCAAGACAAAGTGTGGCCCCCTTTGGCCCAGAGGGTACCAGCTTTTGAGACTCTGAAGGTAACTATCAGAGAGGGGGTTTTCCATTTCTTTTTTTTTTTTTTTAACTTTCCTATTTATTTCCCCCTGGGACCCTTCCACCTACTGTATTCCCTCCACCACTTCAGCTGCTAAGGAATCTCTTGAACTTGTCCCATCCAATGGACTCCTCAGCAGCTGGGAGAGGGTACTTTGTGCTGATCTCTGACCAGGAGTGAAGATGGAGTGTGTCTGCAACCTTCCCAATAACCCCGGTGTCTGTGTCCCCGCAGGTTCGCAGTGCCTGGGCTGGCTACTATGACTATAACACCTTTGACCAGAATGGCGTGGTGGGCCCCCACCCCCTTGTGATGAATATGTACTTTGCTACAGGCTTCAGTGGCCACGGGCTCCAGCAGGCCCCTGGTGTGGGGCGAGCTGTAGCAGAGATGGTGCTGGAAGGCCACTTCCAGACCATCGACTTGAGCTCCTTCTTCTTCAGCCGCTTTTACTTGGGAGAGAAGATCCAGGAGCACATCATCATCTGAGCCTACAGGCTCTGCACGCCAGTGGGCTTGTGTCCCCAACACCTTTGGCCCACTCTCTGGCTGCTTTCACAATCCTCATTGCTGCTCAGGGCCTTTCTAGCACTATGCCAGGCTCTCCTCCGTCAGGCATGCTCAAGGCCTATTCTTCCCTGCCATCATCTCCTCTGGGAAAGGCCCAGCCTAACAGGAAATCATGTGGCAGGACCCCATGACCTGTGCCATGGCTGATACCACCCAAAAAGGCAGTCCCAAGCACCCTGGCCCAGGACCAGCTCCTTCCTGGTACTGACCAGGAAAGACTGCCTCTGACCCTCTTGGCAGACCCAAGCAGAGCCCAGATTTATTGACTTGTCTATTTACCCAGTCATCAATTAGTAAATGTGATTAACTCCTTCCCTCCTGTTTTCTGTCCCTTCTAATTTTCATCTTGCAGCAAGAGCTTTTGAAGTACCTGCTAACCTTTGGTAGCAGGAGTGTAGAAACACAGTGTCCTCCCAAGAGCTTTCTTAGAGCCTAGGTGGTAGGCATCTTATTTACAAGCTAGTGCCTCCTGACCCTGATTTCCTGCAAGGAGTTTGGTTGCAGAAGGAAAAGATAGGTTCATTCATCTGTTCTACCAACATCTATTCAGCCCTAAATCTTAGCCAAGCTCAGGGCCACATATGAGATAAATCAGCAAGGAGAACATACACATGTCTTGGCTGGAACCTCTGGGATTGTGTCCTGCCCCTTGCCCAAGATCAGATACAGTGTGAACCCTGCAGTTTTGGGCTCAGCACAGGTCACATTCACCTCATCCAGGATGGGGCTAGGGCATGGGAAGGGGGTTTCTCCATGAAGCTTGTCGGAGAAGTTGGCCTCTGAACTGATCCTAAAGGATGGGTTGTTTAATAAAGTGAATGCAAGGTGTCCAGGAAAGGATCCAGGTTGAATGCAAATCATACACAAAGGCCTAGAGGCAAGAATTAACAAGATTCAGGGGGTTTGTCCTAGTTCAGCTGCTAAGACAAAGTATCTCAGACTGGGTAATTCATAATAGAGATGTTCAGGGTAGCACCTGTGGCTCAAAGAGTAGGGTGCCAGCCCCATATACCAGAGGTGGTGGGTTCAAACCCAGTCCTGGCCAAAAACTGCAAAAAAAAAAAAAAAAAATCGAGATGTTCATAGTCCTAAAGGTTGGGAGTCCAAAAGCAAGGCACCAGCAGATCTGATGTCTAGTGAGGCCTGTTCTCTGCAGCAAGGATGGCAAGGATGACACCTCACTGTCCTGACATGCTGGAGGGGTGAGGCAGGCCCCTTCAACCTCTTACAAGGGCACTCATTCCTTTCACAAGGATAGAGCCATCACAATCACTTCCCTAAGGGCCCCCTCTAGACACTGCCACAATGGGTAATAGATTGTAACATAAGAATCTGGGGGTGGGGAACACCAATATTCAGACTGCAACATAATTCAAAGTGATTTTTACCGACCGGATCATGGAGTGAAAGAAGAAGAATCAGGTTGAAGAGCCAGGCTAGGGAATATGGATTTTAACCTGTGGGCAGTGGGCCACTGAGGGGTTTCACTAGGGAAGTGACATGATCAGATTTTCCTCTTGGAAAAATCACCATGACCTCCTTGTGGAGAATGGACAGGGATGTCAATGCAGGAAATGAGGATCCCTAAGGGAGGTTGTTGCTGCAATCCATGTGGCCCAGAAAATAGGGGCCCAAGCCATCATGGTAGAAGTAGATAGGTCCAAGAGGTGACAGCAGCAACAAGAAACAGGTCAACTTTGAGAACAATTGTTGTAAAAGTTAATGTTAGTTGTTAACTCAGCATCAACTGAAAAGTAGCCATGAGGTTTCACAAGCCTGAGGATTTAATAGGATTTACTTTTTCAGAAAGATGAAACAATGGATACAGCATGTCCTCATTATAAAGGGCAGGACTGCACAAATATGCCATTTTCAGCTATCAAAAAACAGAGCAGAAATGAGGGATTGCAGGTTGGTGGGGAGAAAAGAGATGTCAGGGTATGTCATGGGAGGAAGCCGAGGAGCCCAAGCACCACAGGAGGCAGAAGGCGCCCTCAGTGAAGTTAACTTGGAGAGCTTAACAATATGGAGATGTCCACAAAGAACAGTGTGAACTTGATCAAGATTTGGATTATGTTGAAGAAGAAACTGGTGAAGAAACAAAAATTAAAGCACATCAGCTGGCTGTTCAGATGACGTAAAATTCTCAGATTCTTGTAGCCCTTCAAGAAAGATACATTGAAAGCTTGACTAGGGTAGATAAAAGATGAGAGAATGGGGCCATGTGCGGTGGTTCATGCCTCTAATCCCAGCACTTTGGAGGCCAAGGCCAGTTGATTGCCTGAGCTCACAGGTTCAAGACCAGCCTGAGCCAGAGCAAGAACCCCGTCTCTAGCAATAGCGGGGCATTGCAGTGGGTGCCTGTAGTCCCAGCTACTTGGGAGGCTGAGGCAGGAGTTTGAGGTTGTGAACTATGACACCAAAGCACTCTACCGAGGGTGACAAAGTGAGACTCTATCTCAAAAAAAAAAAAAAAAGATGACTTACAAAAACCTGTAAGTTAAATGTCCAGAGACAGAAGCCAAATTCTACAAGGAAGCTCATGATATCAAAAGGAAATATGCTGTTTTCTATCAACCTCTATTTGACAAGTGACTTGAGATCATTAATGCAATTTATGAACCTACAGAAGAATGTGAATGGAAACCAGATGAAGATGAAATTTTGAAGGAGCTGAAGAAAAGGCCAAGATTGAAGATGAGGAAAAAGGTGAAGAAAAAGAAGATCCCAAGGGAACTGCTAAATTTTTGACTGTTTTTTTTTGCGCCCTGCCTCCTCATTTTTGACTGTTTTTAAGAATGTTGACTTGCTTGGTGGTACAGTTCAGAAACATGCTGAACTATTCTGAACCACTTAAAAGATATTACAGTCAAGGGCTGGGCGCAGTGGCTCACCCCTGTAATCCGAGCACTCTGGGAGGCCCAGGCTGGTGGATTGCCTAATTGCACAGCCTGAGCCAAAGTGAGACCTTGTCTCTAAAAATAGCCGGGCGTTGTGGCGGGTGCTTGTAGTCCCAGTTACCTAGGAGGCTGAGGCAAGAGAATTGCTTGAGCCCAATAGTTGGAGGTTGCTGTGAGCTGTGACACCACCACACTCTACTGAGGATGATAAAGTGAGACTCTGTCTCAAAAAAAAAAAAAAAAAAGATATTACAGTCAAGTTCTCAGATGCTGGCCAGCATATGAGTTTTGTTTTAGAATTTCACTTTGAACCCAATGAATATTTCACAAATGAAGTGTTGACAAAGACATAGGATGAGGTCAGAATCACATGATTCTAATCCCCTTTCTTTTGATGTACCAGAAATTATGGGTTGTACAGGGTGCCAGATAGATTGGGGGAAAGGAAAGACTGTCACTTTGAAAACCATTAAGAAGCAGAAACATTAAGTGACATGGGATAGTTTGTACTGTGACTAAAACAGTTTTCCAATGACTCTTTCTTTAACGTGTGTGCATAATCCCAGATCAGTGTTATACTTTACTGGAGAAGTTATTGAAGATGATGATGGTGATTATGACCAAGTAGGTGCAGAGGAAGGATATGAGGGAAATGATCCAGACTGTGACCCAAACAAAGATCAAAACACAGCAGAATGCAAGCACCAATGAAGCAGGACATAAGTGGGCTTGAGGAGGATAATCTGCTCTGTTCTGCATTCTGCTTCCTGGAAAGGATGAACTGACATCTTTTGGGGAGCCTATTTTCAAGTTTTTTGTTGTTGTCCATTTGTTTTTGTAGCCTAAAATAAAAATCCCAAATACAGTTTTAGTTCTTATAAGATGTATTCATTTTGTATTGATTCATGTAGAAGCAAAGACCTAGGATGAATTAAGGGGTTCTATCTAGTTTTATCATATTACTGAAGAAAAGGATATCAACTTTGGAAGAGGTACTACAATATCTACTAGTAAGCAAGTGTTAAAAAGTAAAAGGACAAAATCTTAAATGATATGATGCTTTTTTATTTTATTTTTTTGACACAGAGTCTCACTTTGTCACTCTTGGTAGAATGCCATGGCATCACAGCTCACAGCAACCTCAAACTCTTGGGCTGAAGCCATCCTCTTGCCTCAGCCTCTTCATACATGGCTGGAACTACAGGCACTTGCCAAAACACCCTACTAATTTTTTTTTTTTTTTGAGACTGAGTCTTACTATGTCACCCTCAATAGAGTGCCATGGTGTCACAGCTCACAGCAACCTCAAACTCTTGGGCTCAAGTGATTCTCTTGCCTCAGCGTCCCAAGTAGCTGGGACTACAGGTACTCTCCACAATGCCCAGCTAATATGATGCTTTTTTAAAAGGAAAAAAATTAAAAAGTTAAATTTCATTTTCTTTCAGTTAGAGCTAGAAAAAAGTCCCCAAGACTCTGGTATTTCTACTTCTTGTTGCTTAAAGTGTTATCATTTGCCCATGCTTCTGTTTACTCTGTATTAAAATGAGTAGTACTGTTTTGCTTTACCATCTCGCGGATTTGTTAAGGTTTTTTAAGTTAAATCTCATGAAATGTTTCTCAAAATTAAAAGCTCAAAAATGTAGGCCTTTTTGTAACACAAATGTGACATTCCACATCTTACTCATACCATGCTTTGATAATTAAACTGGAAAATGAAGGTTAAGTACCTCTATTCTGGGTCTGGGCAGGCAATACTCTTTCAGATCTTTGTGTGGCTCTTATTTTGAAAGAAGTTCATGGATGAACTATGTCAAAGGTTCAAGGATTTGTTTCAGGTATTTTTGATGACCATATCATAAGAATGGGGGGGGCAGGATGTCATTAAATTTGAGACTGTAGAACCACATTTAAAATACCTTGGGCTGGCTCGGCGCCTATAGCTCAACCGGCTAAGGCGCCAGCCACGTACACCTAAGGTGGCGGGTTCGAATCCCCAGCC